CAAGCATATGCACCCTTGCTTTTGATATCAGTCTTGAATTTAGTAAACACTGTTAGCTAAATAAAGACACAAATGATATTTATACTGGATTCACAATCAGGTTAGATAAACAGAAAAGCAGCTAAAAATAAATGGTCAAAAAATTGGTTCATAGCTAGCGTCAACAAGACCAACTCCAGGAATCGATAAACAGTTGTTTGGTTGATTTTACCAAAAATAATCACACATCAAAAAGAAGTGTTGGTACTCGTCAATTAAAACAAATAGAAATAGTTTTTTATTCGTTCCTAAAGATAGCTGACAGTAACTGAGAATTCGCCGCCGTATATTGCAAGGCACGTAAATTAAGAATGCATATATATTAAAATCATAATGCAACAAATAATCAATTTTGGTACCTCCTGGTTTTGTTTACCATTTATTACGGTCTCTTTCTTTTCAACGGAAATTATTTTCCCAAACACAAACTACCCGTGAGGAAATAGAGGCTTAATATATTGAAAGCCTTGATTCCGGCTATAAACTGGAATTTGGGCCTCCGGAATTTAAATTCTTTTTATGGTGACAGCGTTTTATTAAATACTTTATGTTAAGACTTCACATAGTTAAGACACTTTAGAATGAAATTATTGAAGAGAGTGTCTTTTATGAGGCTTCTTCGTTGTCGTGCCTCTTAGAAAACATATTGTCTATGAATTTCAGTGCCTTTTGAAGGACGCCATTAGAAGAAATTTGTGGAATGCCTTCGGAAATGGCAATTGAGTTTGACATGGATGATATCAATGCATTCTTTTACATTTATAGATAGTTTAACAATTATGATAAAACTTGTGACATCCGTGCAAATGACGCATTCCAAAAACGACTTCAAGTATAAAAGAAGTATATAGCAAAGCTGGCTCAAGTCAATCAGAGCTCAGTTCGTTCTACAAAGTGTGCAAGCGTGAAATACATGTAAAAAATAAGCACCTTTTGAATACCTTACCAACGAAAGTGGTCAGGAGTTATAGACTATTAAAAATAGAGGTTACTGTCTTTTAATCTTGACTCCATGTTTATTGTATATTGCCCTATGCTCCATTGATAAAGCTCCATATGCATATATGTTATTCTTCTTCTTCTTCTTCTACTACTACTACTTCTTCTTCTTCTTCTTCTTCTCCTCCTCCTTCTTTTCTTGTTTTTTTGCTTTGTTTGTTTGTATTTTTGGCCAAGAATTCGTTATATATCTTTAGGCTGGAAGACTTTAGATATAGTTAACCGAAACAGGTATAAAGTCAGTAGAGTAACAACGAGCTGGTATTAGCGTAAGGAGTCCAATTTGAGGTGAAAATGGTTGTATCAGGCTTTACCTTTTTAGCCCGCGTTTTAGCACTTTATTCACGAAGGAATTTTAATTCAGTATTTATTGTAATAATYTATAGCATAACCTCAAGCCAAGGTGTGTCCACGTCCTATTCATAAGTGTGTAGATAGTGGGATGTGTTCAGGATTAAAAAAGAATTAAGAAACTACATAGTTTATGGAAAGATGAATCAAAGTAATGAAATGTAATCAATGCAAAAGATAATATAAGAAGAGGTTCAGCTAAAGTCAAGAAATCTTTTCCCCTTAGTTTCCTTTTGCCTTCACAAGATAAACCACCTTCAGTCCTTGAAGAGTCTTTCTCTGACATCATTACGCATGGATCATCCATCGTTGTATCAGTTAGGCTCGTGAAAAATGCCAAGAACAACAACGAAATAACGTCCAATAAAGACACCAATTAGCCCAGTTGTCCTGTTTACTTGCGTGATGTAACAACTTAACGTGGGTAGTAAAAGCTTTGAACAAGACTCTGAAGAAGCCATGGGCTGGAGGCGTTAACACATGACTGACCAATTTATAGGACTCAATTCCCATATATGCAGTCAACATGTTATGAGCAGTGAAATATGGAGGTGCTATAAATTTCAAATTAGCCCCCAATTTCAAATCCTTTTATAAGTTCAATAAGCGGATGACCTGAGATTATATCTTGGAAAACTATCAAGCCCCGAGGCCAGAATTTATTCTTAAACGAAGATAATACAACTCGATAATTGTTATCTGTTTACAAACAAGCTGAGATATGTAGTTTTAATTGTAGTAAGGTCATGGATAGACATCAAGATAAGACGAAAGGACGTGATGGGCTGTATGTAGACATATATTTCAATCAATCAAATGGTAGGTTTTTTGTACATACACCAGGTGCCTGCTCCTAAATAAGATGCTATGGTAAAACAGCGATTACGTCAAGGAACCATGTTTATATAAGGAATTATATAAGAAACCAACGCAGAACGTGACGGGAAGGATTCCTTGGAATTAATTCAAGCCTTTGACTATTAAGACATTTCCTGGAATCAAGAAAGCCTTGAAAAAGGTTATCGTCAAGATCTGATTTCGTAAGTTCGGGATGATATTTTTAGAAAGCTGCTTTTCAATTTCAGTTTTTCAAAATATCTTTTTATCCTTTTCATTTTTTATTTTTTTATTTCTTTATTTTATTTTATTTTTTATTTTTAGTCATTTAACGAAATAGCTGAACTAATTGTGTCAAAGAGGTTATTCCCAGTATTCATTCATTCAATTTATTATAATTTTACTCTTTATCAGTTCTCTTCCTCTCTCCCTCTCTTTCTTAATTTTTTTCCTTCCCTTTTATCTTTATGTTTTTGATTGAACCTGAAGTAATCTTTCCTGAAACCTGAAATTAAAGTACATTTTCTGAAAACTAAAGCTGCTTGGTTTTTTCAACCTAATCTAGAAGCCTAATTTGCCAGGTTTTATGTTTCAGACCGTTTCAATGACATGCCATTCAATGTCTTCCAGAATTTCTCAATTTCTCTTAGCCGAAGATTACAAAGCAATAAAATTCCAGCTGAGCTTAGAAAGTGCATCAGTAGTTCCTTACATGCAGCGTGACTCGAAACTAAATCGAAAGCTGACAGTCCATATTGTTTTTGTAACTATATAGCTAGTAAGAATTAACGTCTAATCGCTACGATATGAATACAGATAAGCATGTACTTTATGAAAGTTCGTATGGCTCTTGACCTCTGGATGAAAATACATTGATGAGTTAACCACACTGTCAAATCGACGAAATTCCAAGACAAGACACTTGATTATTAGTTATAAATGAGACTATCTTTAAATGCCAATCAAATGTCTTTTTAAGATACCACATGGACAAGCGCAGAAAAAGGATTAGAATAAGAACTGAAAGAAATAAAGATCATTTATTGAGTATCATTTTAAGTTCAACAGAAATGAAACCAAAATTGCATCGATGCCCTAATAATCAAGGCAAGAAACTATTAGATAAAACTAATATCGAAAGAAACTGAAACTCACGTAAACAAGTTACCCAACATTAGTATTCGTATCAGATGAAAAATCTTGTAAAAGTAGTGCTTCTTCATTGACTGGTAGTTTTTCTACTATTTTGCAATGAATAAAAGACAAAAAGTCAAGGTTCTTATAACCGTAAAATTCAGATGGAGATTAGTTTGTTTAGTAGTTTGGGAAAAGTCCTTTTATGCCTTGGCTTGTCTTAGTTACAACCCATGAAAGGGATTTGGGAAAACCGAAGTGTTCTAAATGGGAACTTTCTATCTTCATGGAAAAAATTACAATTTCAAATTACGTTAAGCTTCCATACTGTTACAGCCCGGCTCTTTCAGTTGAATGGGACTGAAGTGAAACTTCATCTAACGGATATTTGAGTACATTTGTTTTCAAGAGGGCTTGGTCTTCAGATCTAATTTACGACATCAAAACGGAGGTTGCGCCGGGAGGCTTTAGATTTCCTTGAAAAAGCTATATATTTCTTATATGAAGCGGTCTTTCTTTTCCAATGGGTGTTAGAAACACACCTTCTAAGAATATAAGCATCATTTTACCTATTATAAAACAAAACCTCTTTGAATTAGGAAGCTAGGAAAAAGAAACGCAAAGAAAGTGCAAAAATGGCGTCATTTTGTCTCATGAAAAAGACAAGTAGTCTCTGACTAGATCCACATTAAAACATTTCTCGTATTTCCCCCGAAAAGAACTTCTAATCTCACCACTACAACCCATTAATTATCGAAAATACTAAATTAGCTCAGTAATCGGCCATCGAAAAGCAAAATTTTCGTCGTAGAAAGGTATATCAATAGTTGTGTTCCAAATCTATAATAACAATTCCCACCCGCAATTTTCACTGGAAAAAAAAAGTATGATGTTCTGAACACCAACAGAATGTAATGCTTTTTTCTTTTGTACTTCATGACACACACATTGTCGTTGCCTTTGATAAAACTCTTGAAACTTCCGCTTCCTAATTAAGAACTTTAAAGATTTTAATAGCATAAAGCTTAGATGGCTGTACTCTCATCAATCTATCTGACCGACCGTTAGGAAAATGCATACTCCTTACGCCATATAGGATTAACTGCTCGATCTTCTATATGTTTGACATCGAATAGCGATCATTCATCTCTATATAACCCCTAGCATGACATGTATTTATCTTTATTTGAAAACTTAGAGTTCTTTTAGGACCACTATTTATGTCACTTTGAGATTGTAGCAGGCTCAGTAGGATCCCTATTGTAGTTTCAAGCAGATCAGTGATGATGTCGATTACCAGTACTCTCTGAAGGCTCTTTTCATTTCAGTCGAAGATCAAGTATCAGCAGTCGCAAGCATATTGCATTGTAGCTAGAAAATAATCCTAAAACGAAGATATCGCTTGCAGACGGAGACGGGGCCAAGACGAAGGGGGGCGGGCATCATAAGTCTGTTTCTCATTATCACTACTCCCCTCTGCAGCAAAGGTTTGGCCCATCCACAAATAATCATATATGAGGCTGAAGATTTGGCATCTTTTATCTTGGTTTACTCAGAAGTTTAGCTGTTTATCTGTCTCATTTCAGACGTGAACTCTAGCGAGCTTCAAATCCTCTCAGTGTAAGCTAATTGTAAACCAGACTGAGCATTCTTTCAAGCAGAGATCAAAAGCTTATCAATATCAGTTGTCCCTTAAAACGTTCATCTGCCACGACCTCCACATTTAATGCCTTAACTGCACACATCAACAGATAATCCTGACCACTTTCTTATTCGACTCCTCAACTGGACTAGAGGACGCCATAGACCAGCAAAAACTGAGGACTTTACTTTTAGCAAAACCCCCTAAGAATAGCTTTTTGATGGACTTCTTGTCAGTACTAAGCTTCGTACAACATGTGTGAATTACAAAAATGACGTAACAAAAGTCTTAGAGATCTTAATAACGTCAAGAGTAGAGAAGAGACTACTCTGGAAATTAAGCTGTGAATTCCTTGAAGGAAGTGGCATTGCTTTTATCAAGACGCTGAAACAATTCAGAAAACCAGAGGTTGTTGAGTGTTGTCAAGATTTGTGATAGACCTGACGTGGTTTTGCTGAGTGATAACCCTTTGACTCATTACAGAACGGTTGAAAAAGTTGTTTAGAGAAGTGAGAGGCTTGTACTATCAAGAAAGATATCGTACGCACGAGAGCTGAGCAAGAAAGACTGCGATTTCAAGACCTGCCCAAACTCGTCTGTTTTTAGCCGCACACGAGATAGAAAGCCAATTCCTAGCCGAACAGAAAACGTTAAAGAACGAAAGAAGATACGAAATACTTTAACATAATTTGGAGAACAATCTCTGGTCATTCGTATCAACAAACCAAACCTGCTGTATCTCAAGAAGGAGCCACTTCGCTTGCAAAACGACATGCATCAACCCTATCACTGGCCCGAGGTAACTACTAAATCTTTAATCTTAAACCTTTGATAATGCATGACTAACCATTTCCATCCCCATAGGAAAGAAACAAAAAGGGCTTAGCATTTTATGCACATCCATAGAAAAATTATCCTTAAGAAATGTTCAAGCCCTCGCCTCTCCGTCTTTGCCTTTGATTGATGCAAATATCCATGATGAGGACGATCTTATAGGATGTGTTTTCCTGATTCGGTTTGATCCTGGGTAATCTCTAAGCTTGCCCATATTCTATCCATATCCCACAATAAGCTAGTGATGAGCCAGCGGCTAAGTTTCGCGTCGAAGCTCTTACTATCAAAAACGAGACATTGAGTCGACTTTGACCAAGAGCATAAGCGGTATCTCAGGTTATATATTTGGACTCCTTGGCTTTATCTCCAACTAATAAACCGTTAAGGCTGTAGTGTAGTCTTTCAACTGCTCGCTTATGGAATAGTGTTTGTGGATGATATTTGACATGCAAGTGAATCTTACAAGCTCTATTTTGGGCGGATTCCATCGCAGAGTTTACAGTAGTCTTTGTCATAATAGTATGAGTCACGACAGCAAACAAACTTGTTCAAAGGTAGGCTAGTGAACATTCTATGTTTTTGAAGCTCGATAATTTGCTTAGCGTTGATTGCAAAGATTGATTAGCGCAAAAAAGAAAAAGTTTTAATCCTGAAAACGTCGAAAAAGTGATTTTCAAACTTTACGTGGACAAACCATCCATTTTTTGCTAAATATGTTTTCGAAAGATTGCACATTTTGTACAAACATTTTGAGCTTGAAGTCTATGCAGCAATAAAAATAACTCAGTCTTAAGCGGGCGATACTGGAATTGCGGACATTTAATGATGTATAATTAACATTGTTCAAAAAAGTTGCTGCCGAACTAATATTCGTAACCACTATATACTGGCCTGGCTTATACATTAGAGATTTCACAGCTTTAAATATTATATATATTTTCAATGCCAATTAAATTTTGTTGTATTAAGAATTAGTGCAGACAATTGAAAAATTAATGGCAAGTGTACGTAATATAAGACTTGCATGCATGTTGTAAACCTAGGACAAACAAATACTTGGTTTTTAAGTTGGGCTCTAAGATATATATCTTGAATTCTGTAAATCTAAGAAAAACAATTACTTGATTTTTAACTGGATTTAAGGTGTATATTTTGAATTTTGTAAAATTAAGACAAACACATACTTGATATTTTCATGTTGTTTGATATTCACTTCCAATGTGTACCAATTGGGTTTGATGAGTTTCTAAAAGCCTTAGGTTTAGGACACTAATTTTCTTCAACAAGCCTTGAATTCGGCTTGAGATGGTGAATATGAAGGGCTTTTTTCTCAGCACGAAGTCAGTCAGTTTTGCCCAGAAGTCTGATAGTTTGAAAATGCAGTTCAGTTGTTGGCTTAAATTATTGTAAGAAACTTGTATAGAAGGGTTTCACGTCAGCCATGTTTACTCATTTTGAAACTCAGTGACATCTCTTTTAAAGCAAGAACTTTGCATTGTTTATGGCTGTAGGATAAATGCTTACTAAAATATCAAACTAAACTAAAAGCAGCTTACAATTGCGCACAAAAGTAGCGAAAACTATATCAAGCTGTCTACATCTCTGAGCCAAACGAAAACATTTTTATTCCCTTGCAATTGCTTTCCATAATATAGATACAAAACTTTTATATAGAATAGTACTATGCATATATGTATATGTATGTAAGGCACAAAAACTCGTATACATCAACATGATATGAAAACTCGTGGGTTTTATTAGTTCAAAACAGGTTGCCATCAAAAGAGCAGCAAGACGCACCAATATTAAGAAGCGATAGAGACAGTCCATTACCATAAGCAAGTGAGCCACATATTGAGCATCTTTTACAATTAATTATTGATATGGCCATTTGTAGTGTGTTCTTACCTTTGATCCTCGTACAGCGAAAGTCTTCCTAATTCGTGTAATTGGCAACCAAGTGAAACCTTCATTGGATTAGTAAAATAACCAGCAGATTAGATTCTTATGACTTAGCATCAGTATTTTCTACTGAGAACGTAAGTGTAAGCTTAGGCTTTAGTTGAGCAAATCTGTCAAATATTCGGATGTTGTTAGCTCCTTTTCTTCTATGTCAGTTCCATGCTAAAGAGCTACCCTGATAAGTAAATGGTAACTTAATTAATTCCTTGAGGTTCAGTGTGAGCTTGTAAAAGATTCAGATTGGTTTGTAATGAGCGTACTTGGAAATGTACTACTTCTTATAAATCATCTTAAGTGAAAAAATAACAAGCACTGAAACAAAAGACAACTGATAACGACAACAACTAAAACTATAAAAACCAAGTAAATGAATCTCGGATAACTCTCGGATTGAATTGGAATTTAACGAGGGAGGAAAACTGAATCGAAAAAAAAACAGGGAAAAAACCCTCAAATTCTACCCACGTGTGCAGTATATTAATTGACGTTACCACATCAGAACACACATMTTGGGGTTTTTTTAATTAGGTTGTTATATTGGAACCATTGTTAGTCACATTCTACCACTGGTATTTCCGCGTCAATCTTTCTTTTCATTCCATTTACTCTCAATTAATCCTATATCCCATATCCTGGATTGAACATTATTCCTACTTAGGTTTATGAGCAGATTGTAGAACGGATAAAACGTATAAACTAGTTTTTTTGCGCAATATTTCCACATGACAGGCATTTGTCGATAACAAATGATTTTAAGTTTTAAATTTCGACTAAAAGAAACTAAATAAAATAAGAGAAGATTGTCTCTGGAAATGAGCCCAAAGTTTGGTACCGATATTACAAAGTGGCTGTTTTCACGTTGTAAATGCATTTTGTCCCTTCCCTCTTCTTACCATAGTTCCTACTGCTGATTTACGTTCTTACTAAATGAGTAAGTGAGTTTGTAATTTCATGTGACATGGATTATAATTTTCTTAGCCTTAAGATCGGGCAAGCTCTTTTTCATTATACTCGCGGTTAGCTAGTCTTTCTGTCAGGATGAACTCACTCCTCTGTGCCTTATGATTTTAGGTTCTTTTCTCCGTATTTGGAAAGATTCGATAAAAAGTTCAGTAAAAGTAGTCAAACAGCAATGACATTACTTATAAAACAATTTATATATTACCCTGGCTGGCAACACTAGTATCCAGGAAGCACCTATTGATGTACCTTTGGCATTCGTTAATAGTGCAGTGAAATAACTATAACTTGAAAATGGTAGTTGTAGGATTGGCAAATAAAAGGAAATCACTAACAAAAAAACTTAAAACAATTAAGAA